CGCGCAGCTTCTTCACCAGAGGCTCAAGCGCGTACCAAAAAACTGTATTGCAACACGCCGCGACCCTCGCAACATATGAATGGACCCGGCACTCGACGGGGAGACTGGGGTCTGCAAGCCACTGCATCGCACGAGAAGCTATAGCGTTGCGAAGACCAATCGCAAAAGCTTGGGGCCCCGAGCTCCTGGCGCCAACGGCACAGGCGTAGGATGGTGGAGCTGCATGCTAGGGCTTGGGAGGACGAAGGCCATCATGCTATCATAGTGCAAGGGGCGACGCAGCAGACGCACCCCATGGCAAGATCTTCCACCGCCCGAACTCTACAGTGGAGCCACACGGCCACTTCCTTGACCGCCCTTCCCAATCCTGAGCCATGGATACCGCCCTGCCCGCGCGCCCGCCAATGTCCGGAGGGATAAACCATCATAGAATGAAGCCTGGCTGGAAAAAACGATCCAGAGTTTGGCGGCGCGCAGAAGGGGGTGGGGGGAGGGGGGAAGGCTTCTTAGAAGGAGGCTGCTTCTTAGAAGGCGGCGGCATTACATCTATACATGAGGACCGCGCCTTCTACGAAGCAGGGGTGCTTCTAAGAAGCCTTCCCCCCCTCCCCTACCCCCTCTGCGCGTGGCCGAAGAGTCTCACCCAGCGAGTGAGACACGCTTTGGGGCACCTGCCGCGCGTGCACAAGGGAGCCTGACCGAAGCGAGGAGACGTCGCTCGTGGCACTCACGCGGCGCCGGCGAGCGCCGCGAGACCCGCCGTCGAAGAGGAGGCTCAAAGATCCGCGAGAGCAGCACCGCGAAGTCGAACGCGATAGCCGAGATTGGGAAGGCACCAACTATACACCAACCCCGATCCTGGCCAGGATCACCCTGGGCCCAGGATCGGTGTATACGCCCTCTTGCCTTGGGCAAGAAGGCATATACACCGATCACGGGCCCAGGGCGATCCTGGGCCAGGATCGGTGTTGGTGTATAGTTGGTGCCCTCCGAGAGATAGCCGCAGACATGGGCTGCGGCGCGCGATGCGCCACTTTTTGGTCTGCGGGTCGAGAGCGGGCCTCTTCCAGTCAAGAGCTAGGCGGGGCGCGCAAAGCACTAATTGGGGAGACAGGGCGCGCGATGCGCCACAAGCACCGGCAGAAAATCTGGCACCAGGATTTACTGAAGCGTTACTTGGTCCAGTGCAGAACGTGCTCAGGAGGCCCCATCCTTCGTGAAGTCCAACAGAACATGGCGCGCACAAGGGACGGGAACGCGCCCCGGCCATCGAATCATAATCACCCGCTCCCACGAGCACCGCAACAAGCGCCGCATCATCATCACCCGCTCAGGGCAACGCATTGGACCCGACGAGCTCAGCGCTCGCGTGTAACGTTCGACGCGTTCTCGTTCCTTGTGAGGCCGCGCCGCGCAGCCAGGCAGCCGAGCAGATGGCCTCGCCAACGCATGCCCCCAGGTACTTCACAGCTGCGGCCGGCAGTCTGCTTGTCGAACGGCCGTGGGTGGGCGGGGGCGGGGATGCAGGACTGCGGGCGGCCTCGTGGCGGCCATTATCTTCAGGACCAAACGTGGAACAATTGCGAGCGCCCAGATAACTTTCGCTCCCGCCCCGTGTCCATGACTGAACGCGCACATGATACTTGTTACTGGACGGGGTCTCGCGCCGCTGCTGCCGCGCCGAGTGCGGAATGCCGTCGGGCCCTTGGTCAGCGTCGATTGGACGTCGGATGCTTCTCCGGAAATCTTGGGACCCGCGCGCGCAAATGCCGCATGGACCAAACGGGGAAGCCTGGCGCGCCGAATCTTCCGAGTGTGACAGTCGCACGCGGTACCGCCCAAGTGGCGCGCCAGCACCACAGCGGCTTCGCCTGGAACAGACACGCGTGCGCCCGGCGGGCCCGCGGTGGAGGCGGCGGGGGGGCAGCCAGGCGGCGCAGTCGATGGTCGAAGCCCTGCGCGAAACTCGTCGAGCCCGCGACAGGCAAGGCTGTGGACGCGAAGACTCGTGGCAACTCACGGAGGCCTCCAATGCCGTTCTTGCTGGCACTTGCGAATCGACGCCCATCGACACTGGTCGAGGCTGAATCGCAGCTTTCTCATCGAGCACCAGGCGCCAACGCACGCTAACGCACCCTAAAGACGGAATTGCGAGGACAGGCGAGGCTCCCAGGAGTTGCTACCTGTCGAAGGGCAGCCGTCGACGGGACGACGATCGTCGTTCCCCACGTGGAACAGGACTGCTTTGGCGCGCGCATGTTCGCTGGGAGCGCGCCTCGCGGTGCCATGTCACCAGGTGCCCCCACGGAGCCTGCGCTGAACGAGTCAGCCCCGGCAGCGAGACTCGCTGCGACGTCCGCGGGCAGCACTTCGCGCGCCTGGGCATTCACTACGGGGCGCGGCAACCAGCGCGCCGACGCGGGGCTGGCGAAACCGCCGAAGGCACTAGAGAAGAAAGCTGAAATTATGCTAGCCACCCTCGACCCAACACAAGCAGTTGTTGAATTCTGGATGTGCAAGCTACGTGGTGCACGCTATGTGGAGCAGTATGCGCGAGGCAAGCTGGAGGCCACAACGACGCAGCAACGGGCGGCAACGCGGCGAAACCACGCGACGAAACCTCTCCACAGACCAAAGAAGCGTACGAGGCGGCAACGAGGCGGCAACGAGGCGGCAACGGGCGGCATGGTGGCGAAACCTCCAAAGACCCACTCAGCGCACGAGACTGCAACGAGGCGGCAACGAGCCGGAATCTCACCAGACATACCCAGCGCACGAGGCAGCAACGCGGCGGCAACGGGGGCAACGTGGCGAAGCCTCGCCGGACACACCAAGCGCACGAGACGGCCACGCCGCGGCGACGAGGCGGCGACGTGGCGGAACCTCTCCAAACCCACCCAGCGCACGATGCGACAACGAGGCAACGAGGCGGCAAAGGGCGGCAACGTAGCAGATCTCCACCCAATTCCTTGGTGAGGAAAGTACGAGCTCTAAGTGCAAGCAGTGTTAGGGAAAAGAGATAGACCTCACCATCCCGAGTCAAGAAGAGTGTGCCCATTAAGCCCCCTGGCTGCCAGGGGTCATATCTGGGTCCACGATATGAGCCCATTCAGGCACTGAATAAACTTGCTCGTAGGAAGCCCCAGTTAAGATTGCGTCGACGCAAGTCAACAGTGGCGTGCATCCTGGTCTTCAAATGTACGTCGAGGGTGGAGCGTGAGTCGAACCACTTCGTGCCCTGGGTCCTGCACGTCTCCACGACATCTTTAGCTCAGCCTGTACCCGTGAGTGTGATCTGATATCTGTCCAGCGTACTGCTCTGGCGTTTCGCAATCGCGCCATTGACGCATTGACGTTCACATGTTCACAGAGTTCCCAACACTCCTGCAAGACACAATCGCAAAAGTCAACTAAACCGAACTTTCTTCGAGCATCCATCTTCTCGCTGAGATGAACTACTGGAACCAGATGCTCATGCATACTCTGCTCGATGGGGGCGATCTTCGCGTCGAGCGCGGCCTCGTCGGCGACCGTCTACAACTGGGACAGGCCTCCCTGAATTTGACGCCCGCAAGTCATCATCCTGTTGGACATGCCCTTCAGCTTACCGCAGCGCTTGCACATCATCCTTCCAGGCCGTGATGCGATGTATCTGCTTATGTGCCCCTGGTGTTCTTGAATATGTTGCAGCGTTTCGCATAAAGATGCCCCCAGATCAAGGATGACGGGCTCAGACCCGACACGCGCTCGCTTCGCAGCAGCCTCTGAACTCACACGCCCTCCCCATCTATGTGTGGCTCCTCGGCAGCCGCAGTCTGCCGCGCCGAAGACCCACAAAGCAGCAAGATCCTGCGACATGGCCAGATCGTATGGAGAGGCCCTCCGTTTGACTGCACGGCGGAGTACCCGCAACTGCGCGGGCGAGCTCGCTGCAGGGTTTGAAGATCAGGAGGTGAATCTCTGAAGGCCTTCGAGCCTGGCCATCGGCTGGAGCCAACGTGGTCTGAGCAAGCACGGCTCGGGGAGGTGGAGGGCCTGGGCGGGAAGTGAGGGGGAAGGGGGAAGGATGGGCTATGGGGAGGGAGAGGAGGGGGGGAACGAAGAGAGGACGTGGTGGGAGAAGTGAACGAGCTCAACGCCCTCTGACATGCGGAACCTGCGGGGTGATCGGTTCGATTGTTTCTCTGCCTGCCGGCGAGAGGGAACGTGGGTCCGAACACTCCCACGACCTATGCCGCGGGGATGGGGTGGGCGGAAGACAATTGCCCGTCCCTGAGCCTAAAGAGACCCACGGACGGTCTGCAGGAAACCAAGTAAATGCACACCTACCTGGACCCTTCCAAGAGTGCGAGGAGAAGTTGGACGAGGTGGGAGCGGAGCAGAAAGTGGAGGATGGGGACGGGGATGAGGGCCATCAGCGCAGTAGGATCATTGGCACGATCACGAAGACTAGGAGGGAAGAGGATGAGGACGAGCAGGAGGAAGGGGAGGAGAAGGAGGAAAAGGAAGAGGAGGAGGAGAAGGAGAAGAAGAAGGATCAGGAGGAACAACGCCATCATGGGCAGGAGGAGGCAGTGGGAGGAGTGATATAGGGAGGCAGGAGGGACAAGGGGAGAAATAGAGGGGAGGATTGAAAAGAGCGGCGAGCGAGAGAGGACGAGAACAGCACGAGAGAAGAGGATCAGAAGCAGTAAGAAGGCGAAGGAGGAGGAGGAGGAGGAGAGATGACCGACCGAGTCAGACTACGAATGCTCATGGCGAGGAGGGCGGAGGCGGTTGAGGACGACGGCGGTTGACGACGAATCGGTCCGCGGCTTCGAGTGCCGATGGGGGACGAGGCTGGATGGGGAGCAGAGAGGAGCGACGACGAGGGAGGAGGGGGGGGACGATGAGCACGAGCGGGGGACGGAGCAAGAGCGACGAGGACGAGGAGCAGCCTACGCACTCCCAGGCGGTGGAAAAGCGGCCGCCGCGGTGGAAAAACGGCCCCGGGGGGTGCCTCACACCTCGTCATCGGAGGTCGAGGGCGTCACGATCTCGACGTCTGGCTGCTTCGGGGGGCCGAACGCCTCCCTCTGCAGGACGCGGCGCAGCATGACCGCTGTTCTTCTGGCTACCCTGTCTTCGATCTCCTGGGCGCCCGAGATCGAGTTTGATATCCGGACTACGTGCTCCTCGATGCCGGAGAGCATGTCCTCCAGCACCTTCTTGGCGTGCCGGGACTCCTGCAGCTGAATGAGCACGTCCAGTGACTTCGCGCTGCCCCTCAGCCGCAAGCATGCGCTCAAGAACTCCTCGAACTGCACCTCCCCCTTGCCGTCGACGTCGAGCAGCGCGAACACGTACGTGGCCTCGTCGGCGCTGACGTTGATATTCTTCCACTCCTTTGCCATGTCCGGGTCGCCAAGGCGTGACTCGAGGTCCTGAAGTATATGAGGTGCTTTTGATGAGCGGGGGAAATGGGAGCGAACAACATGTTTCTACAGCTGTCGCCAAAACGCGGATAAAGCGACACACCGAAGGCTAGATTAAGGTGCATCGGGATAAGGCCGGGAAGGCACGGGCAAGGCGGGAAAGCGGTTGCACTTGAGAGCAATGTTCTTCCTCACGGAGCGTCTGGAACAGCCACACACACACACACGCAAACACACACACACACACATCACGCCGAAGGAGATTGGTCAAACTAAAATCCCGCCCGTACTGAGATCCTTCTCGGTGATGAACCCCCAGTCATCTCCGCCCTTGCGAGGGGCAAGGATAGGGTGGACCAGCTCAGGGGCCGATACATCTATCTGGAATCGGAAATACATCTCCTGCAGACAGCCGGTAGCGAATCAGCACGCTCCTGGGTGGAGCGAGGCTATCAAGCCACCATCTGTGGGAACAAAAACATATCCATACCGCTACCCCGCGTACCTCCCCTCGAATGCGTTCTGACCCAGATTTCGAGGCGAATCCAGCTGTGGTGGCGAGAGGGACGGGCAGCGGCATCTGTGTGTTTTTTCCTTCTCTAACCATCGGCGATCTACGGGCGATTGGGGGTCGATGCATCCCCCTGAGCCCATTCCCTCCTAACCATGCCCCTGACCCTTGCCGTCGCTCGGACGTCCATTTCCCGTGCATTTGTCGGTTTCGTGCGTGTTTTTGTTGCTCGACGGTCCAGGATGGTCCTCGATGGTTCTCGCCGAAAAAAAGGCACGCGTCCGAGCGATGCCAAGGACCTTGCACTTGTGGAAGAGCGCGATGATCTGGTCGGTGAGGAAGGTCTCCTCCTCCTGCTCGGCGCTGTGGAGCGCGGTCTGGACGAAGACGCCTAAGGAGAGGAGGAGGAGGAGGAGGAGGAGGAGGAGGAGGAGGAGGAGGAGGAGGAGGACCCCCTCCCCCTCAAGTTTCTGGTGGTGGTGGTGGAAAACGGGCCCATCACCTGCGCCCCCTCCAGAGGCCAGGTGGCGACATCCGAACCCTGCCCCCAACGAAAACCACCGACCCTCCTGCATCAGGCGGACCTCCGCCGCAGAGGGAGCGGGAACGCCCAAGCTTGTGGATGCCATGACAATGGACACTCTAGCAATGCGATCGCTGAGTTAAAGATGTGTTTGAGATGTGTAAGACATGTTCTAACCATGTTTCGGGCACGTGTTGTACAGATTTAAAACACGGTTGACACATCTTCTGGACATCTGGAAGTTACTTGGCAGCACGCTTCCTCTCCAGTCATCGGCTTCCACGAGCCCAAGCGGGCACCCAAGGGGTTGGACGATCGGGGATCGAGCTTGGTCGAGCTCTGGGCTGCGCCAGGACAGCCCCCCGTGGCAGCCCCAGCCGGCCTCAGCAGGCCCCGCGAACTGCCCCAGATGGCCACCCCAGGGCCCCCCCGAGCAGCCCAGGGTTGAGCAGGGACCTTCCGTCCCGGCATTCCTGTATGGGAGGCCTGGAGGTTGACACCAACACCAATATCGGCGGTGTGCCTCCACCGTGGGAAGGTGCTCCCGATCTCGGTGATGGTGGTAATATTTCGGCGTCCTAGGTGGCCTAGGTATTGCCACCAACACCGAATTCCAGGATCATCCTTCCCCCTGTCGAGGCATGCCCGTGTGTTGGTGTTGGTGCCCATTTCCAGGCCTCCAGCTGTAGTCCTACCACGAAGTGTTCTTAGAACCCGAAAATGTTCCAAGAACAAGAACAATGTTCTTAGAACGTTAAGCCCGATGTGTCAAACCAAGACAGACTCGGCCAGGAATGTTCTAAGAACATCTCGTGGAAAACCACAGAAGGTTCTCAGAACATTGCCTGGTAGGGCTCTAGGCGGGCCAGGACGCTTCGTCACTGCTTGACGGGGGCGGCCGCAGCACCCCGTCCATGCCCGAAGACTGCAGCCGCAGAGTCGCCGAAGACTGCGCGACGAGCCTCCGCCGGGATTCTGCGCGAGACCCCCGAGGTCTGGGTGACTACCTACCAGACCACCCCAACCCAACCCGAAGACCCGAATTTCGGGTTGGGGGGGGTAAGGGTTCCACATGTGTTTTTTCGATGTTTCCCGACCCCCCCCCACTGGAAATCGAGGGTAAATCTGACCCTTCAGGTTGGGTTGGGGTGGTTTGGTGGGTGGTGAGCGCCCGCGGAGGCGGGCGGCGGCGAGCCCCAGGGGGGCAGTGAGAGGGGGCAGGCAGCCTCGGAAGGCGGCGGGGCTTCTCGGAAGCCGCCCGTGTCTCAGGAGGAGACGGCCTCGAGGAGCTTCGCGGAAGCCGCGAGGGCCTCGGAGAAGCCCCGCCGCCGTCTGAGGAAGACTGCCCACCCTCACTCCCCCCTGGGCTCGCCGTCGAAGGGAAACATTTCGTTGTCCCCGAGCCAGTGACGACGTTCATCAGCGCGAGCATGGCGAAGGCGATGATCGGGTCGGGCGAAAGGGGGGGATAGCAAAGGGGGGGGGTGAGAATCAGCTCACGTAGCTGGTTTCCCCGGCGCCTCCTGGCGCCGGAGGCGGCTATGTATCGAGGAATGGGCCCCTCGGTGAGGCCGAAACCAGCTGCATGCAGCAAATTTCGTGACCCCCCCTTTCCCAATCCCCCCCTTTCGCCTGGCCCGAGATGAAGGCGGCGAAGGCGAGGCCGAGCAGCGGGCTGAGCTCCGTGACAAGCGGGTTGGACATGTCGCCCCAGTCGACGCCGCCGGAGAGCGCCTGCCACAGCGAGAGGATCGTGCTTGCGAGTGAGTCGAAGTGCTCCTGCAGACGCAGGGGAGTACGGTCGGGAACCTCTGCCTCGCCTGTGGCGGTGGCGGCCACGGCAACACGCTGCGCACTGCAGCACGGTAGCGCGTCGCTCCACTCCGCGCTCTTCGGGGCGGGAGGCGGGGAGAGGCTCGGGACGCCGACGCCTGGGAGTGGGGACGTGTTGGGGCATTGGATTGGGGTGGTATAGCACATGGGTGGTATATGGATTTTTTTAAAAAGGATTTTCAGATATGTTGCTGGGCTATACCACACCGTCCAACATTTGCGAGCATCACATCAACGATGTTACAATCAGAAGGCTGAGCCCCACTATTATGCTTAGTTGATCATGGCGGAGCGGCGAAACCTTAGCTATTATCCGATATGCGTCTGAAGAGGAACTGCCTGATCTCACTATTGCTCCGTGCCCACGATCATCGCTCTGTTGTCCGTCTGCATGTATGTCCGCATCGTCCTTACTACGTTCTGAGACACTTCATCCTCATCTTTTGGTATGTTAATTGTTCTCTTCCTCCTCCTGTTTCTTCCTCCCTCCTCCTCCTTACCTCCTCCTTCTCCTCTTCCTCCTCCCTCTCCCCCCTCCCTCCTCCTCCTCGTTTGGAAAGGGGGGGGGAAGGGAATGCAGCTGATCCCCAGGAGCAGCACCTTCGTGAGAGGGCATGTGGCAATGCAGCTGTGAGCATCGTCTGGGATAGTACATGAAGAAACCCACGAGTAGGCCGTGAAGTTTCACATAGAGACTTGCGCTTCCACCAAGGGAGGTCAAACAAAGACCCATCAAACAACAATGAGTTTCAATCGAGATCCCGTGAGGCAGCCGTGAGGTTTCAGACCGAAGCCCAGGGAGGGATGAGTCAACATGGAAGGGGGGGGTCAAACCCATGCGCCTTGGAACGGTTACCTGCCCCCCTTAGTTGTTTCCCATTGTTTTCCAGCGAGCTGGCAGCCAGCCACCACCGTTCAGACTGCGGTGGCTGGGATGTCCCAGGAAGCCGCACGGCGCGGCCCCCTAAATAAACAGAAAGCGTGCTGGCACAGCGACTGTCACCGTCGCTGTGCGAAACTCGTGGGCTGCGAGGGCGTGGAGGATAGGTTGATGGCTCCTATGTTCACTGTTTACCGTTCCGTTCAAACGTACTCCCAACATTGCGCACGAACGATTTCTTAAACCACTATCTACTCGAAGCCAACATCGCGAGGCAATGAGTTCATACGTGTGATTTTTTCGGGCCCTCGGACCCCTGATACTTAAGCGTCAGCACCTACAACGAATCAAAAACTAAACCTGAAATCATTGGAACCCCATGTTATCAAATCTGGAGGTCATGGACTGCATGGAGGAGGGAGGTGGAGGTGAAGCTGGCCCTCCAGGGCCAGCTCCGACTTGCAGCGCAACCTGGCGCCTCACCCCGCCTTGAAGTTGTTCACGGCGGCAGGCCCGCGTTGTCGCCCCACAGCGCGTACGGGCACTTCTCGCCCGTCTCCTCCTCGCGCCACAGCCACGACGTCTGCAGCACGAACATCAGCGCCGTCTTCACCGTGTAGGTGGTCTTCGGGCCCCAGCTCTTGCTCACCGAGAAGGGCGGCAGCTGCTTCGGGTAGGCGCCCACCCAGCGCTGGAACCTCTTCGCGTCCTTCTGGAGCGTCGCGAAGGGCGGCGCGAACCTCCTGGCCCACGCCAGCTCGACGTCTGCATCGGGAGCGGGATCATCATGCACTGTCCAGGCCCTCGGAGCTGTCGAAGCCGCTGGCGCCGCCGCCTCGAGCTCCATGGGCACGGCGCCGCCTCCAGAAGCTGACGACGAGGCCGCCGCTGCCGCTCCTCCGTTAGATGCAGACGCCTCGGGCGGGCCAGGACCAGCGCCACCCTTGCCAACCCTGTCCTTGCTGTTCTCCTTGGCCTGCTGCTTGTTGTAATTCACCTTGGCCCTGACCTGCTCCGCGGCCTTCTTCACGACCAACATGTCGTCCGCATCCAGGCCCGTCTCGATCTTCTCCAAGTTCTCGGGGTCCGACAGCACTGAGGTCGCACCATTGGTCTCGTGGACCTGGCCTCTGCAATACAGCGCGTTGTCGATCACCTCGTCGGAAGCGCCTGGGATGATCTCCCTGATGATGGCTGTCACCATGCCCTTGACGTTAGTCGGCCTCGATGCAGAAGCAAACCTCATCTTCAATATCGACATCAACCTGGGAAGCCAGAAACTGTCGAGCTCCTTGAGGCCTCTCAGCGCGGCCATCTTCAGAGCGTTCTCGGTCTTGTTATTGTCGATGATCAGTCGGGCCGCAAGGCCATTGCTTGGGATCATGGCAGAATACCTGGCAGCCCCCAGCGGCGAGAGCGCCATCACCTTGCAAACCTTGATGCGCTTCAGCCCATCGATGGAGTTGATCGGCATGATGAAGATCATGTCGGAGGGGTTGTGCTTCGCGCTCTGGGGCTCAACAATGTGGATGTCTGTCGTGCCCCTGACTGGCACGAGCGTGGCCCTCGAAACCATCAAACCGAATGGCATGGTGCAAATGACGATCCCACCTGAGGAATCAGAAAAAGGTTGAGCCAAGTCCAGATTTACCCACGCTTCCTCTGACGCCTATCGACGTTCGCATGCCGAAACCAATCCAGAAATCAGTAGAAGGTTTAGATTGGACGCCAAGTGGAAACGTAGGAAGCACACAAGATCGGAAGAAACAGGTTTGCATTGGCACCGCTGGCGCCACCAAGACACCCAAGACGCTTCAAACCAGATTGCCAGTCGACCGAACCACGCTTCTGAAATCTAGTTTAGGTCCTACGTGGCTCCTGTGATTCATCTAGGCTCGAACTGTTTCAACACCTACATCGACGCACCCCCATGGCCGCCCATCCAAAAACATCAGCACAGGATGCGACACATCCTGACGGTGCAACATATTTGCCCCAGGCCCACTAGATTCGGATGGAGACGCATCCTGGCCCATCACGTACATGCCAGGCTCGATGCACAAGGACAGCCAGGAGAATTTCATCTCGGCGATGTCCCCCTGGAGCTCGCGAGCACTCTGCCACGCCATCCCGCGCTTCAGCATCCCCTGGCCGCTCAAGTGTGGGAGCTCCTTCGCCGCGTCCGTGAAGACGTCCAGCAACTGCGGGTCCAGCGAGAACTCCGAGATATCAGCTCTGCAAAAGTCAGGCGTCACGTTCACAAGCTTCATGCTCTTGGAAGTCGGTGTGATCAGAATCTCCTTTCTGTCGTACTCCTTGATCAACTCAGTGGTGGTTGCCTTGTGCCAGCGAGAAACCCTGCCAAATACGCTCGCTTGGTGCGCGCGCTCCCTGGCACGGTAACGGTTGAAGAGGTCCTCGTTGATAAGGGTCGACATCCACGAATTCGCGAAACCCAAGAGTTTGTCGAACGCCTCTTTACTCACATTCTTAAAGCTCTCCTCATACAGCATCACGAACATCTCTCTGGTCCACTGTTCCATTGGCCACCGCAACTGTCTCAGGTAGTGCTTTGCCCACTCGTCGTCGGATGCTTCGAGTGACTGAAGCAGGCGCCAATCCCTCTGTATGTCCAAGAGAACAGCCTTCTGCTCGATGTCATCAAAAGCAAGGAGGCCAAGGAACTTCCCAGGGTAGGTGTCGGAGTACGTCATGCTGGACAGCGCGAAGTTCTTCGACAACGACACGACGAAGTTGAAGTGCGTCTGGCAGAGATGGTCTTCCTCTGAGGGACTGGCATTCAAAACAAATCACCACTGCTACAGTGTCCGGATCACCCGACACAGATTTTAGCAAACATTGTTTGCGGGATTCTCTCCGGCAAATCAAGACCTGGGCGCCCCGCGGAAATAGTTCGAAATGGGTTTTGTTCTAGTGCGCCAAAACAGAAACACGTGATCTGAAAGCCAGACTTCTTTAAACTACGTTAGCATGTTGCTTGTTTTCGAGCTAACGGTTAAACATCGACGGGCTTCCCCAGCGGCCTGGTTGGAAACAGCGGCGGATATAGAAACGCCAGCAACATCACGCACAGAGTTATGGGAAACGTATAACTTGACACCGCCAGCTGCAAACGTTAATACATGGTACACCATAGGGTTTGAAATAGACAGTGGAAGCCAAAACGTTCAAGCCAATGTGTGCGAAACGCGTGTTAAAACGTTTCGAAAAATCACGTAAAACATCTTTTCGGTAAAATTACACACGGATTGCATCAGAGCGCCTCGGGCGCGATATTCTTGTTTCGGACTGCAACTAACTTGCGGAGGTTGTCCAATTTCCTCTGGGCCTGCGCGCAACGGATTGAACAAGCAAACATTTGGATTCCGACAATGGCCTCGACTACCCAGGATGCCGAATTTTATTCCTGAAACAAAAACTTACACGCGGACGAAAATTCAACAAACTACCAAAGCGCCTAAACAATACTACGCCTTTTGTACCACCCGCAGCGCACATGAAACTCACAATTCTGCTAGGCACGTGCCCCCACGCACAAACTGATCAGCGCCCCATCACACCCCTTCTCCCAACCCACGCACAGGCCCAGAACGATGTTTTTTTTTGCCGCTCCCAAAGAAATTCCAATCCATTGCCCTGAAACGCGCGCAGACTACCCAGTGCTCGTTTCGATTATATAGATATGTGCCAAAAGACACCCGAGCGAACAGCATGATAGCACGATCTCGAATTCTGTGAGGTAGGACCAGACCAACGACATCACCAGGAACGCACAGACACACATGCTGATTGATGCACCGCCCGACGTTTGTCATGCCTTTAGATGTCAGACAGGAGCGCGCAGTACCTCCTAAGGTCGCAGCGCGTGCGTTCGAAAGCACGTCGCCAAACAAAAGCCATTCAACAACAAACGCAAACGTTACCGAACAAGCGCTGAAGAGATGATATCGCCATCGCGGCAGTCGCGCGAATTACCCCGCCGCCCACCAGCGCAGACATGCGCCAGCAGTTGCTAAACGTTTCGCGCTACGTTACACGCGCATGAACGCCACCACGCCGCGCACGCAACGAATTGTGCAACTGTCAACCCCTGGGCGCGATTGTGGCTTACGCACTGCGCGCGCCCCCGAATGATCACGCAGCATAGCCCAGCCAACGCTTCTCAAGCTTCATCCGCCCACCAAGACCTTGGCCGCCCAAGCTGCTACGCTGGGGCGGCGCGTTCGAGAGGCGCCCAGAAGCGCGCGCCTCCTGCGGCGCGCTCAAGCGCGCGACTGAACGCGCATAGGGCCAGCCGGTTTGTTACAGGCGCGCGACCCTCGACAAATCCAAGAAGCGCCCTAGTGCGCCGATTCGAACTGCTCGCGCGTTAATGCCATTGAGCGCCCAGGGCCGCGCGCGAGCGACCTTGCCCCCTGCGGGCGCCCATCCGAGCGCGCGACCTCGGGGGCGCCCGCGTCGAGCGCCCACCGCGCGCGCAGAGGCAACCGCGCCTGCAGGCGCGGTTGCGCGCGAAAGCACGCTGCCTATCTTTTCTTAGCCTTAGTCGCGCGCGCAGTCGCCCCAGCGCGCTCGAAATGCATCCTGGGCGCGCGCGCAAGCTTGCGCGCCGCTGAATGCGCGATAAAAACGCACCGCCGCTCGCCCGAGCGCGCGCGCCATAGAGCGCGCGCGAGATCGCTCAAGAGCGCGCGCCCCCGCGCGCGCCGAGGAGCGCGCCGAACTGCCGCCGTCCACGCGCGCGCTCGAATGCGCCCGTGCCAGAAGGCGCGGCCCCAGCCTGCGCGCTCCGCGCGCGCCCCATTCGAGCCCACAACAACGCGCGGCCCCTGCTGGCAAGCTGGCGGCGCCCTGATACGTCCGAGCGCGCGCGCCCGCAGAAGAACGCTGACGCCGCAATATAGCGCGCGTCTGCGCGCAATTGCACTCGGGGCCGAATGGCAGCCGCAGACGCGCTCGCCCGATTGACGCGCGCCATGGCATCGCAGAAAGGTGGGCGCGCTTGGAAGCTCGACGCGCCGCGCGCGCAACGGAGCTTTTCTTGCCAGATGCACAAAGGCGCACGCCCCTGTGCGCCCGCCATCCAGGAGCGCCGTTGATCGGTTGAACGCATGCAGGCGATGCTGAACCCCCAAAACTAATGGTGAAACCCAAATGTAAAAATTCAGTCTCTGATCGGAAGACGGGATCATCCCAATGTGGGCATGCCATACGAAATACACAATGCAAAGCGCCAGCGCGCGCGCACGCGCGCCAACGCACGCGCATCGGCGCTCTGTAGTGTACACAATAGAAAAGTCGACGCGTCCGTCGGCCTCCTTAAAGAGCCACAGAAATTTTAAATTCAGTTTTGGAAATTCCATGTCGGCTTTTCTATTGTGGACACTACAAAATCAACGCGCGCGCGCCGCTGATAGGTTTAACGCATAGGAGCGATGTTGAACCCCAAACCGAATGGCGAACACCCAATGTAAAAATTCATTCTCTGATCGGAAGACGGGATCACCACAATGTGGCTATAAGATACGAGATACACAATGCGAAGCGCCAGCGCGCGCGTACGCGCGCCAACGCGCGCGCGTCGGAGTTCTGTATCGCCCACAATAGAACAGTCCACGCGCCCGTCGGCCTCCTTAAAGAGCCACAGAAATTTTAAATTCAGTTTTGGGAATTCCACGTCGGCTTTTCTATTGTGGGCACTACAAAACTCTTCAACGCGCGCGCGCGCACGCGGCTGCAGCGCGCCGCTGATAGGTGTAATGCATGGGGTGCGATGTCGGACTCCCAAACCCAAAAGTTAAACCCCAATGTGGAACTTCATTCTCTGATCGGAAGGTAGAATCATTGCAATGTGGCTATAACGATGCGAAATGCACAATGCGAAGCCACCAGCGCGCGCGCGCCAACGCGCGCGCATCTGCGTTCTGCATCGTCCACAATAGAAGAGCCAACGCGCCCGTCTGCCTCCATGAAGGGCAAGAGACATCTTGAATTCAGGCTTGGGAATTACATGTCGGCTTTCCTATTGATTGTGGACAACACAAAACTCCTCAACGCGCGCGCAAGCCTACGCGCGCGCGTGCACGCGGCGGCTGCGCGCCGCTGGTAGGTTTAATGCATGGGAGCGATGTTGAACCCCCCAAACCCAATGGTGAAATCCCAATGTGAAAATGCATTCTCTGATCGGAAGACGACCATCCCAGTGCAATGTGGGCATGCCATACGAATTACACGATGCGAAGCGCCAGCGCGCGCGCACGCGCGCCAACGCGCGCGCATCGGCGTTCTCTAATGTACATGACAGAAAAGTTGACGCGCCCGTCGGCCTCCTTAAAGTGCCACAGAAACTTTGAGTTCATTCTTGTGAATTACATGTCCGCCTGTCTATTGTGGGCAGTACAGAACTCCTCAACGCGCGCCGACGCGCGCGCGGCGGCTGCGCGCCGTTGGCACGTTTAATGCATGGGGGCGATGTTGAGCCACCACATAAAACCAACACTAAAAAAGCCCAATGTAAACATGCATTCTCTGATCGGAAGACGGGGCCATCCCAATGTGGACATGCGATACGAAATGCGCAATGCGGAGCGCCATCGCGCGCGCGTGCGCGCGCATACGCGCGCGCATCGGCGTTCTGCATCACCCACGACAATAGAAAAGCCGACGCGTCCGTCGGCCTCCTATAAGAGACACAGAAATTTGAAATTCAGTTTTGGGAATTTCATGTCGGCTTTCGTATTGTGGACCATACAGAACTCCTCAACGCGCGCGCGTGTACTCGCGCGCGCACACGTCGGCTGCGCGCCACTGATGGTTTAATGCATGGGAGCGGTGTTAAACGCCCAGACAAATTGTGAAAAACCAACGTAAAAATTCATTGTCTGGTCGGAAGACGAGATCATCACAATCTGGGTATGCGATACGAGATGCACAAGGCGAAGCGCCAGCGCGCGCGCATCGGAGCTCTGTATTGCCCACAATATAAAGCCGACGCGCCCGTCGGCCTCCTTGTAGAGCAAGAGAAAAATTAAATTTAGTTTTTCACAATTTCATGTCAGCTTTTCTATTGTGGACAATGCAGACCTCCTCAACGCGCGCGCGCGTACGCGCGCGCGATCGCGGCGGCTGCGCGCCGCTAATGGTTTACTCCATAATGGGAGCGATGTTAAACCCCCAAGCCCAATGGCGAACACCCAATGTAAACATCATTCTCTGATCGGAAGATGGTATCATCCCAATGTGGGTATACGATGCGAAATACAGGGTTGGTTCAATGCACGGGAGCGATAGGTTTAACACATGGGAGCGATGCTGATATGTTACAATGCTTAATGCATGGAGGCGATGTTGCACCCCAAACGGCGAAAACCAAATGTAAACACAAACCCCTGGCCGGAAGACGGTATCATCCCAATGTGGGCATACGATGCGTCATGCATGACAGGTTTTTCCGCACGGGGGCGAAAGGCTTAATTCATCCCAACGCACGCAACTGGTAGGTTCAACGCATGTGAGCGACGTTGAACTCTTACACCCAAAATTGAAAACCCAATGTTAAAGATCATTCAGAATGATCTTTAACATTGGGTTTTCAATTTTGGGCATGCGGTGCGAAATACACAGTGCGACCTCGGTTTTGTCGCAGACCTCGGTTGCAGCACCGCTCGCAGTTTCCGCTCCAGAGGCAAGCCGC